AAAAGGGGGGGAAGAATATAGAGAGAGGGGGAAAGAGAGAGAGAGAGAAAGAGAGAGAGAGAGAGAGAGAGAGAGAGAGAGAGGGAGAGGGAGAGATCCTAGTAAATTTTTTTATATTGTGTGAGCTTCTCATCCAAAAGAAAATTCCAGCACACTAAGGTTCCAAATGATTTGATCCACATACACCTGTCACATATACCAATAAACAAAATACCAAAATATAAGATAGAACACAGGTCCAAAAGTTTACTACAAAAGTAAAGTAATGGCATCAGAGCAACCTGCATCTCTCACCTCCTAATTGCGACGGAGCAGTGGCGTGGCGTCTGTCTTTTCCTATTAAACTGCACCGACACCTGCTGGACACAAACGGAAATATGTATTTCATCCCCAAGCAAAACATGACTTCGTACTTGGTGCAGAAACCCTTTTTGGCAAGCACAGAGGCAAGACGTTTTTTGTAGTTGGTCACCAGGTTTGCACACATCTCAGGAGGGATTTTGTTCCACTCCTCTTTACAGATCCTCTCTAAATCCTTAAGGTTTCTTGGCTGTCATTTGACAACTCGAAGTTTCAGCTCCCTCCACAGATTTTCTATAGGATTGAGTTCTGGAGACTGGCTAGGCCACTCCGTGACCTTAATGTGCTTCATCCTGAGCCACTCCTTTGTTGCCTTGGTGGTATGTTTTGAGTCATTGTCATGCTGGAAGATCCATCCATGACCCATCTTCAGTGTTCTGGCTGAGGGAAGGAGGTTCTCGTCCAAGATTTTACAGTACATGGCCCTGTCCATTTGCCCCACAATGCGGGGAAGTCATCCTGTAGGCCTACCCTTTGCAGAAAAACAGCCCCAAAGCATAATGTTTCCACCTCCGTGCTTGACTGTAGGGATGGTGTTCTTAGGGTCATAGTCAGCATTTCTTTCCCTCCAAACACAGCGAGTCGAGTTAATGCCAAAGAGCTCAATTTTGGTCTCATCTGACCACAGCACTTTCTCCCAAGCCTTCTCTGAATCATTTTGATCTTCTCTGGCAAACTTTAAACGGGCCTATACTTGTGCCTTCTTGAGCAGGGGGACCTTGCGGGCACTGCAGGATTTTAGTCCATTGCGGCATAGTGTGTTACCAATGTTTTGCTTGGTGACTGTGGTCCCAACTGCCTTAAGATCGTTAACAAGCTCCTCCCATGTAGTTCAGGGCTGATCCTTCACCTTTCTCGTGAACATCCTTATTCCATGAGGCGAGATCTTGCACGGAGCTCCAGACCAAGGCCAATTGATGCTTGTTTTTCTTCCATTTCTGAATAATTGCACCAACAGTTGTCTCCTCCTCACCAAGCATCTTGCTGATGGTCTTGTAGCCCATTCCAGTCTTATGCAGATCTACAATCTTGTCTCTGGCTGAGTCCGAAACCACCTACTTCTCTACTATATAGTAGGGGAAAAGCAGTAAGCGAGTGAATATATATGTCCGAATCCATAGTATTCATATAAGCGTCGGCGAGAATTACCTGGATGACGTACTAATTCTGGCGAGATTCGGACGTGCGTCTACTTAAAGTGCGTCCAAATATGCCTACTTACCTACTATATAGTAGGAGAAAAGAGTATGTGAAGAAAGAAGTATGTCCGAAACCTCAGTATTAATCAAAGAATTCATGGGTTTCCGTCACGTGACTTTTTTGTTGTGGCCACCATCTTTAGGACCTTGCATAGTCTCTCCTTGGTAATCGGAAACCAAAATAACACTTCACCAACAACGGAAAACAATGGAGAGCCTTAATGATGAACTGACTACATTTTATAGTATCAGAGTCAATGAGGAGGGAATCTCAACACTAGGTCCAGCAATAAGAGGTGAGGGACCTGGGACCTTTTCTATGAACTTACGAAACAGCCTTCTTGTAGAAAAGTATTTTGAGCCACAAGGGGGTAAAGCTGAGCATTACAGAGGCCCTGAAAGTAAATGAACAGGATTTTTATTTTTCTAAGAGTCACTAGCTCACTAGCAGAAGATAGAAGAATCATCTTTAAAATGACAGTGTTTAGGTGTCTTGGCAGCTAGAAAGAAACCAGGTTAGCAGGGTTATTTCTTTTCTGGATGACAAGACCAGATGAAGCAGATGTGACTTGAACAGTTATTCCATTGTGGCTACCACAAGAACCTTACTGTGAACTTCTAACTGTAGGCAAGGCCCAGATGTCTGGGTATATTTATAGCGCAGTGCAGTGTCTAAAAGGCAGGCTCCAACCATACTGAACTCCAGCAGGTCCTTACACATTTACCCACTGACCTGAAGCCCCAAACAGGGGAATGAAAACACATGGAACATAGGTTAATGCAGAATTGGTAAGACGTGCATTATATAATACTGGTTTGATTTGGCTAGTGCATTAGATTGAGAGATTGCATCCTATTTTCCCACCTACCTCCCATCTTCCATTTCTTCCTCAATCAATGCAGCCTTTCAGTTATTAAAAAGGTCTGCTGCCGATAAACTGAATCCACTTACTATTTTTACCTGACTTCAAAAGAACACACTACAGAAACACATGACAACCTGACTCTGCCTTCAGTTCCAGAATCATGCAAGATCCCTTTCCTCAATGTCTTATTAAAAATGTAGTGTGTTATGATGATATCTTAGATGTTCTAGCATGTTAACACAATAGCTAGTAGGCTAAGCTAATAGACTGCTAAGCAAAGGCTAACTAAAAACAAAAACATGGAAAATAAAATAAATTTCAGGATAAAGAATTTTGCAACCTATAATCCCTCACAAACTAAAATTAATGGAGGTGACCTTTTCAAATATTTCAACATAAAATTTCTGAAATTCTTTTTTTCCAAGAACTTTCATAGATATTTACTTATCAGCAATATAAAGCAACCTGATGTCAGTGTGCGAAATAAAAAAAAAAGGAAACAGGAAAACAGATTACACATACAACACTTTTATTTTTGAATATTAAGAGAATGAAGCAAAAGCCAAGAGCACCAAGAGTGACAGATACTGGTGAAAGAGGGGCAAGCAGAGCTGCAACCCTCTACCCCCCAAAAAAACCGCAAACTGTAACCCAAAGTCAAACAAAATAATACAACAGAGCAACTTAGTAACAGCCTGGGAGTAGGGACCATTAACTGTACATAAGAGAGAATGAAGGAAAGATGAGAGAAAGGACATCAAGTGCGAGAAATTACATTGTACAGTACAAACCTTGGGCAGTTGTATAAAAATATAATAATAATAATTGAAACACATAAAATGGTGAGGGACTGTGATAACCACGTCACTCCAGATAATCCATGGTGCATGTTTCAGCAAGTGTTTTGAGGGGCTAGTCCCAAGGGTCCAATCAGAAATACAGAGGCAGGTCATGGGTGGAGCAAAAGTCATCAAGTGCTGTCACCACGATACCCAGTCCTAAACCTCACCTTGAGCCCCTTTCTCTAAAACAAATGTGTATATAGAGCTTTACGGTAACTAGTTACCATGGTGATGCTTGTGATTTATTGAATCTGAAACCGATTCAACAGATTTTAATTCAATTCAGACAACCAGTCAGTCTTTTATTTCGGTCTAAACATTGCTGAACACAACCTCCCTATAGTTTGCGAGACATATCAAAAAACATTGTCAGAAAACTTTTCCTGTTGGTAATGTGCAAGGGCTCTGCACACAAAATGACTTTCTAACATTTTAACACAGTCTTGTCATTTTCTAAAAGAAATGTCAGCTACTGCAACAAGGCTACTGACAGGTGCATATCATGTGTGAGGCCACACACTGCCAATCTAAGCCTTCGTATCACATCTGAGAATCGCAACTTTTCATCTTGCTTTGTGATCTGTGATAAAGTCTCAATCCATTTTGACCGATAAAATCATATACCTGATCATGTTTAACTACATTGTTCTGGTGAACAGATAAACAGCAAATCCAGACTTTAAATTGGGTAATATGGGGGATTAAAAGCGTTGTGTACACTAATTCTTTGTGATATTTTCAACTTTTTAACCTTCTTGTGGCACACAACTACAGACTTGTATTAAAAAAAATTTAACTAATGCATATGTTTTTGTTGCATTTTCTACAACAGGGAGTTTTGCTTTAATTTGCTGCAACATCCAAATTAACTAGACTGGGGACCACTAAAGTTGGGTTACTTGAGGAAAGGGCGAGTCAATTTAAGAAAAGGCACTTCTGAAAGTTAATAAATCCATACAGTGAGCCAATTATCACCTTTAGGGTCTAAAACAAGACTCTGTTTAACTTTGAAAATGTTTATCTTGGAACATTTTTGCAATAATTTTATGATGGTGTCTAAAAGCTATCAAATTGACAATTTTTCACCAAACTTAAACCTTTGGTCACATTAATCTATAGTTTCTCTCGCATACCTTTTTGACACATTGCACCATATCCGTTTTTTTGTCATGATGTAAACACAATGATCCTAACCTGAAGACAAGTTCAAAGGACCTACTTCTCAGACAATTCACATCAGTTTCCACATGGGTCACCATTAGAGCTAAGCCTAAGAACATTATTGCATTTCTTTACAGGTACTAATATTAAAAAATATTTCATTTTAAAATCTGTATCTATCTATCGATCGATCGATAGATAGATAGATAGATAATTTTAATCCATTACGTCTAGCCCCAATCTGACTGAGCAAATGCTCTACCCCTGATAAAAATTGGTACACAGAGGTATAGGTAGGTACAGGTCAAGTTTCATGAGTTAGTGCAGTGAGGAGTGTCTGGAGCAAAGCCAAGCATGACACTTTTACAGGTGAGCGGTAAGCAGGACAGCTGGCCCTTTCAGATGTTAACCTGAAACCTGCTTCACAACCTCCATCGAAGCCAAGGCTCTGTCTAAATTGCACTAATTTCCCCCACACCTTACATAAAGAGAGGAGGTGAGGGAGATCAAATCACACAGTAGTGAGTCAGCAACGCCCCAAAGCTCTCTCCTTGTGTTTTTGAATTCTTCCCAGGATGACCCTGACCATCTATTCTTGTGCGAGGAGAAAGACTTAGGACAGGATAACGTGCAGGAAGACAACTTTAAATGCATTAGGATAGATTGTGAATTAGTGTTGCCTGGGAGGAGAGGATAACACAACTTTTCATGTCAGCAGAAGTTTCTTATGGTTGACATGACAGGGAGGTCAGGGGCAGTGCAACACACTCACACACATACACACAAAGCTGGTTATAGTCGCACAGTACCACACTGCTGTTTAGGTGTTGTGAGCCTGAGCTTAGCATTTGGCAGTTCTACCTGATCTCATCAGCTGAAAACAAGTCAGAAAGATGTGGGACTCAATAGTCATATCCCTAGCAGTACTCAAAATACATCATACATCAGCACCAGGCCCATGAAGAGGATGTCTCACAGTGCCATTGGCACTCAGTGCAGGAACAGTCAATGGAAAACATGTCTTTTCCAGTTGGACCACTGTTAGTAACACATCCACTGAATGCACCATATGATGAACTAAAAGCTTTAGATGTATGAAGGCACACTACTTAAGTGATCTAGGTCTTTTTTGAGACTAAACAGATGGGGCAAACGGCACAAAAGTTATAAATCTGTCTTATCCTTTTTCCAGCTTTCATCAAAAACACCTATGACATTTGAAAGTCAAATTTAGTCAAGAATTTTAAGTGTGGATATGGCTGATTTTAAAGTGATCACGAAGCTGGTCTTGGCCTAGGGGCCAGTAATGTGATTATACTCTATTATTTAAATCCTGAACCTTCCTCCTAGTTGCTTAAAAAAAAAAAAAGAATCCGATAAACCTAAATATACAGATCATTCATCAATTATTAAATCATCCCAAAATCAAGCCAAACAAGCCAGCTTGACCCATATCCAATGGCACTGATGGGGTCACATCAAAATTTACTCTGTCCTCTCCAAAACAATGTGGGTTAGACAAAGTGAGCGTAGAGTGTTTATTCCTATATAGGAGGGTGTTTATGCCAAACAACAATGGTCCCAGTGTAGCAGGTTTATGTATTGCCTCTGCTGCACACACTAACATAAGCACAGTTAAGTTAAAGTGCTCGGAATCATCGCCCAACTACCAGGGCACTGATAGACCATTCACAACAATACAAAAAAGACGATACGGAATTAGTCACCCCCCCCCTCCCCTCTGTGCAATTAGTGGTAGGAATTCATGATCACAAAACATATTGACAACAACAGAAAGCAGAGTGTGAGTAACTATGTTTTTTGAAAACCAAGCGCTCTCACATCACACCGCGTCAGGTTGTGCACGTCATTCTTATCGCTTCCCGAAAGTGCAAGAAAGCAGAACGTCACAGAGCCCTTCTGCAACATTCCCAAAAGCTGTCTGGACACATAGTTTATGGTCAATCCATCTTTCATGGATTTCTCAGTCTCGTTCTCTGTGAGCAGGGCGAAAGCCTTTCTTATTGCTCTAGAATGCCGCCTCCTCCTCTAACCACGGAATGAGCACAGAATGTTACCATGGGAACCACTGACAGAGCACCATGAAAGTTAAGGATGATGAAAGAAGCTGAAAAAGCAATATTTGAACATCACCTTTCATTTCCCTACCCCTCAGAATTTGTCCACATTATTATTTTGAATAAGCTTGCTTTAACAATGCAAATTTAATGGAAGAAAATTAAGGACAGGTTGGGAGGTGAACGGTACAACAGAAATAAAAGTGAAATGGCTATAAACCATATAGTCAAGACGTGAAAGAGTGGAGGGGCATGAAAATATCTGTATCTGCAGATTTCCCCTAGAGCACAGCCATAGGAACTGAGGGAGTAGGGAAAATGAGAATAAGACCTCTGCTGCTTCATCCTAGTCCAGAAGCTGTTGTGAAATGTGCACACTGGAGAGCCACTGTATATATAATGTCTTTGTTTGTTAAAGTGATAACAAAAAGTGATAGAAGCTTATATATCGTGTTCAGTTTCAGGTCCCTCCTTTCAAACATCTAACCCCGAGCATTTAACCTGAAAGTGCTGAATAGACTACTCCTATTGGAGAGCTGAGAAGTATCTGCCCTGCCTCACTTGGCCTTGACTGGCTCCCTCTCAAGCCAGCGTACACGCACTCTCTGCTTATAGTGATACTCCCTGAGGTAATCCTGCAGAGCAGGGGGCAGTGGCAATGCCCCGATGCCATCGTAGGTGATCCCATTGCAAATGGCTGATCGAGCAAGGCTTTGCAGGCCAAATGGGAAGGTCCGGTGCAGAGGCACAGTGAGCAATGGCTCAAAGAACATGCAAGCGCTAGGGTCCTTGTAGTGTTCCAAGAGAGCTGTGACAGTGGCTGCGTGGAATACGCAAGGGTCGTGCACATCAAAGCTGAAGTTGTGATTCCACTGCTCAATGCGTGCATGCAGCGAACGGCCATAGCGGCGGAAGCTAACGGAGAACAGGTAGTCTTCTTGAGCAGAGTCTCGCAGCAGAAAGGTTCCCTCGGGCCGACCATCCAGCAGCGCTTCAGCCTCATAACGGTCCATCACACTCCAGTAGCAGGGAAGTGCTGTGATCTGTAGCAGATCTGGAACCAAGCAGTGGATGTAGTCAATCTGAGTGTGTACTTTCCAAGGGCCCGGTTGCTTGCTGCTCAGGAGGCCCTCAGCCGAAGCGTGCCGCTGCTTGGGCCTGCGAGCTTGCAAGCAAAGAGTGGTGGTATCGTCGTCCTCAGAGTCACAGTTAGCTGCTGTTGCCCCCCGGCTATCGCCTACGGTCTCACCCATTCCAGGGGCCAATTTAGGTCCCAGCTTATAAAGGGAAGCTAGGGGGGCTGTGATGGCCTCCACTGTGTGAATTTGGGCATCTGGAGGTGGGTCCACACCCTCTTCAATGCTGAGTCGTCTTCTTTCGCGTAAGCGCTCCTCCTCATCTTCCGGTGATGCACAGGTAGCACCGCAAGTATCTGAGGAGGAATCCACTGGCATCACTGTGACTGGTGACGTGTGCTGTTTAATTAGGTGCCATTTTCGGGCAAGGTCTGATCCTGGTGCAAAGGGGCATGTCTCCAGCATCAGCTCTGTGATTTGTATCTTACGTTTGGGTGGTGGAAGGTGACTGTTTCGAGAGGATGAACGCAGTGGGAGGCACAGGCCCACTGTATCATGAATCTGCTGCCGTAGGGAGCGTGCTGCCCCTGACTCCAGTTCCTCACGGCTGCTACCAGTCCCATGTCTGCGCAGAGACCGGCCTGATCGCCGATCTGTGGTCTCCAGAGAACTCTGAGCCTTAGTGGAACATGAGTGTCTCTTCTTTCCACTCCAAGGTGCATGACGTGAATAAGAGTCTCTGCGGACACCCAGAGGAGCACGAGCATCTTCGGTATCCTGCTCAACTGTGATCTCTAGTATCTGGGGTACATCCACTACACAGTTATGGCCCTGTCGTGTCACACTCCCACTGGTCCTCCATGCCACTAGAGGGAGTGCCACCACACTGCTAGAGGGACTAGCAGCCTCCAGTGTGCTGTCTCCCTGGGCCTTGTCCACACTCTGGCATACTGTGTCTGTTTGCGGTTGAAGCTGTGGTGGCATTTCAAAGCGAGAACCCCCATCTGTGTGGAGCAGAGATTGACATCCCTTCTTCAGGTTACTCCACACCTTGCCAATCTTCTCCATGAGGTGGGGGCACCTGGACCTGGAACAAAAAGTCAGACTTCCATTAGTACATGAAGACAAAAACCAAAGAGATTAAAACCACCTAGTTATAAAACAACAACAAAGAATACAGACATAAGAGTTTGCATGTGGGTGTGAGGGACTGGGAGAGAGCACAGGGAGTATAAGTGTTAATCTCCCAAAATGTTTGTTCATTCCACGTTCAGATAAAGTCAGAAACAAATGTGACAAATTTGCCTTTGTAGTAGTTGTTAATCTATCCAGATGTAACCTGAACAACAATTAAGTTCTCACCTGTTAATAAACCATTGCACTATCACAAAGGTTTTAAAGATTGCCTGTTATTTGTGACAATGTTAATTTTTTTAAACAGTTTTTTTGCTTGTTTGGTTTAGTTTTTTTATTTAGTCAATATTTCATTTTTTAATTAATCATTAGCCCCTTTCACAGAGAGTTTCCGGAAAATACATGGGTAATGTGTCCCGGGAATTGTTTCCAGATTGTTAGATTTTGGTTCATTCACACTGCCAGTGATTTCCTGAAATCTGTGTGCGCGTTCACTCACAACCCGTGAAGGTCCCGTAATGACACGTGACATCGGGATGTGACGTGTAATGTACGAATCAAAAACTTGAGCTTCCTTATTACTTGATTTCTCTCTCGAGAAACCACACTGTTGCATTTTGGTTTTAATTTGCTCATACACAACCGCATCACGTACCGTTCCACTGAGCTGGTGAACGATCTCAGCTTCAGCGCAGATACTAAGGAGGTTCGTGGTCTCTGCTTCAGTCTAGTTTGCGCACATTTGTGTTTATTTTATTTCATTTATTATTTTTACACCACACTCTGATTTTAAAACACCGACTAGCCCCTCCGGCACTGCAGGGTTGTATTATTGAAAACACTCTCTCAAAGAGTTGCACGATACTAGATCACTACGACACATCCATTAAGGCATTGGTTCCGGATTTTGTTCACACGGGGCGCCTTCCGGGACTGAACCTGGCAATGTTACTAAGTCCCCGACCCGGGATCGATCTCAATCGATCGATCCTGGGACGTGTTTGCGTTCACACAGAAGGCACTCAGGCAATTTTCCGAGATCCAACGTGCAGTGTGAAAGGGGTTATTAATTCATTAATCTTAGCCCAATTTACACACATTCATAATTTGCCAACAAAATTAGCATTCATTTACAATTATATGCAAAAAACTAAAATGTGTCTAACTGTAATAGACAATATTTTTAAGGCAAATTGTCCAACATTTAAAAAAATAGAAACATTTATTCATTTAAATGTGTCCAACATATGAAAGATTCACCAATATAAAAGAACAAAAAAAAAAACTAAAATAACAATAAGCATTACAACTGCAATGTTTATATTTTTGTGATTTATCAGCAGGCAGTGACAATCACTCAATAAGACATGCAATCGCGAGTAGCCAAAGGAGACGCATGTTAATTCCAGGTGTATACGGCAATCTTTCTCGACTGACCACTTAGGATTGGATTACCCAAGACGGACGTTAATACCAGGTGTAAAAAGGGCCTAACTGATTAAAGTGTTGCCAGGCAGACTCACTGAGACTCAAGCCAGCGCTAAAAATGAGCTCATGGATCTGCTCCCAGTCAACATATCAACAATATGTCTTTTTCTGACCCGCCGTAGCAGGACACTCAGCAGCTAATGAACTGAGAGGTTTTGAATGAGCTCTATAAATCCTATTTTCCTTAATCATTGTGTAAAATAACTTTTGATTTGGCTTTGGCTATAATAATCTTTAAAAAGCTCAGGCACTCTTCCCAAACATAAGCATGAATTTGTGTTTGGGCTAATTAACTGTTCACTGGCTATTATTCACATTAACGAGATATAAACATTTTTTTTTAAATATAATAAAGAATCCCCCCCCCCCAAAAATTACTAATCAATTTGCAATCAAAAACCAGGACTTTAAATTATTTAATGTGAAATATGTCACAACAAGAGAAGCCTGAACAGGAGAGAAAAACTGCCATAAATAATTAATGATAGTTCATCAAGTCTCCTGACAAAAAAGAAGAACAGAATGTAGGTCATGGGGAGAAAGAGCTACAGTGCATTATTCACCTTCTCTCAGTTAGCGGAGAGGAAAAGGATGGGTATCATGTGTTTTAGAGGCTGCTGGGTGTTGTGTACTAAAAATTTCACATGAACCAACTTATGACTTGTGATGCTGACAGAAAATCAGCAACTGGTATCAGCATGGATTCTGATACTAATTAGGGGTGGGAAGTGCAGACAAAATTTTGTGCAGACAGGGAATTGTGTAAAATGTATAACTGAATTTAGACTCTGGTAGCAAATGATAGCAAAAACAGTTAAAAGGAATTTTGAAATTTTGGAAAAAGAAATTTTGTAATTCTTTAATGCGTCAAAACTTTGCGTTTCTAGTTAAACATATCTGAATTGTTCAATGTACAAAGGCTTGTTTGTGGTGTTATAATAATTGAGTTCATCTTAAACACGAGTCCAAGACCGGTTAAAATGCTCCTATGATCTTGGACTTCAGTCCGAGCCCGGTTTTGTCCGGACTCAAATACTACAACACTGCTTGCTTGAAAAAGTTTTAAAAAATAAATGTAAACAGCCATGAAAGACAGGCAGATTCCTCATTCTGTCATATCAAATTCCAACTCATGAACTAAAAGAGAGAATTCTTTAATCCTGATTTGTTTTTGCATAACCCGGCAAGATTTAGGTACAAGTTAAAATTATTATAGACACGTTGCTTTAATATCATATTGGATTCATCCTTTGTGCTAACGGTCATCAGGTTAGCGGCCCCTAAAGATTTATTTTTTACATACACCTGGATCTCATCTTTAATTGAGAATTTAATTGTTCTTTCAACTGAATGAGTTACAGGCTATATTTTTTTTTTTTTTTAAAGGAAAGCAAGCCACAATACCCCTGTACTTTTAAACCTTCACCCTCATTCATGTTTCCAAATACTGAACATGGTGACATTTTGGCAGAACCTGCTGCTCAAAGTCAGGATGGCAAATTAGTGCAAGTACAGCAAAAGCCTATTAACTCTCAGCATCTTCCTTCTGTCTTTTCTACCCCTCTTTTCTCTAGTTTGCCTGTCTTTGTCCCTTTCAAAGCCAGCCTCAAAGCATAAAAGATGACCAAGACAAAATTTTGTGCAGACAGGGAATTGTGTAAAATGTATAACTGAATTTAGACTCTGGTAGCAAATGATAGCAAAAACAGTTAAAAGGAATTTTGAAATTTTGGAAAAAGAAATTTTGTAATTCTTTAATGCGTCAAAACTTTGCGTTTCTAGTTAAACACATCTGAATTTTTCAATGTACAAAGGCTTGTTTGCGGTGTTATAATAATCGAGTTCATCTTAAACACGAGTCCAAGACCGGTTAAAATGCTCCTATGATCTTGGACTTCAGTCCGAGCCCGGTTTTGTCCGGACTCAAATACTACAATACTGCTTGCTTGAAAGTAAAAAAAAAAAAAAATTTAAACAGCCATGAAAGACGAGTTACAGGCTTTTTTTTTTTTTTTTTTAAAGGAAAGCAAGCCATAATACCCCAGTACTTTTAAGCCTTCACCCTCATTCATGTTTCCAAATACTGAACATGGTGACATTTTGGCAGAACCTGCTGCTCAAAGTCAGGATGGCAAATTAGTGCAAGTACAGCAAAAGCCTATTAACTCTCAGCATCTTCCTTCTGTCTTTTCTCCCCTCTTTTCTCTAGTTTGCCTGTCTTTGTCCCTTTCAAAGCCAACCTCAAAGCATAAAAGATGACCATAAATCAAAGTTCAGATCTGGCAGTGCAGCTATGGTAACAATGTGCATAGAGGCCAACAAGCCTGACCTTTCCCCCCAAACTCAGGAACCTTGCTCCACTTCCAGAATGAACTTGCACTACATAACATTTGTAAAATTGTGGTGCAGGGTGGTTAGAAGGGTTCGCGAAAAGGGGTCACAGAGTTCATTAAAATGTATTCTGTGAAACGGTGTACTAAATATGAAGTCAAGGGCCTAGATTCTCAATCAAAAAAGTTGCATACATATTGAAACAAGACTATTGCGCAAAAAGCATTGTGTGACCAATGTTAGCACTACTGAAATCACTAGAACTGCAGTAAATTTATATTATATAACCATGCCTTGGCAAGCGAGGTTGGGAGGCACAACAGAGTGAATGTACATTAAAGGATTAGTTCACTTCCAGAATTAAAATTTCCTGATAATTTACTCGCCCCCATGTCATCAGAGATGTTCATGTCTTTCTGTCTTCAGTCGCAAAAAAATGAAGGTTTTTGAGGAAAATGTTCCAGGATTTTTCTCCATATAATGGACTTCGATGGGAACCAACGGGCTGAAGGTCCAAATTGCAGTTTCAGTGCAGCTACAAATATACTTTAACCACAAATGCTAGTCGTGCACTAGCTCGACTTCACGCATTACATAGTCACGTTGGAAAGGTCACGCGTGACATAGGCGGAAGCACCGACCCAGCGTTTACAAAGCAAACGTGCAAAGAAAGTCAAACGCCTTTTACAAAAAAAAGGTAAAACAACGATGTTGGTCGATTTTTTTCAACGGGATTAAGTAATGTAAAGACGCTAGAGCAAGACGACCATTTGTGGTTAAAAAGTATATAAATGTTGTTGTTTTTTTAATGACTGATGGTTTGGCTAGATAAGACCCTTATTCCTCAGCTGGGATCGTGTAAAGCTGCACTGAATCTGCAATTTGGACCTTCAACCATTTGGTAACTGTTGAAGTCCACTATATGGACAAAAATCTTGGGATGTTTTCCTCAGAAACCTTAATTTCTTTTTGACTGAAGAAAGACAGATATGAACATCTTTGATGACATGGGGGTTAGTGTTAATTTCGTTAACGAAGACTATGACGAAAAATGTTCGTTGACGAGCTTTTTTCCCATGACTAAGACGAGACAAAGACAAGACGACAATAAGGTCAATAAACGATAACTAAGAC